TGGTCATGCTTGCTAGGCCTGAGGGGAGTTGTAGTTCAGCTACAGCCAGAGGGCCAAAGGTTCCCTACACGCGATTTAGAAGCATGAGGACTGGAATCTTACAGTGAGAGGGGAAAGTATTTGATCCCCTGCTAAATTTGCCCGTTTGCCCTCTGATGAAGAAATGACCAGTCCATAATTGTAATGGTCCTGTTGTTAGTCTGCCTCTCACAGCTACAATAAACCTACCATTAAAATTATGGCCTGGTCATTTCTTTGTCAGAGGGCAAATGGGCAAATTTAGCAGGGGATCAAATACTTTTTTCCCCTCACTGTACTTTATTTTTAAGGGAAGGCTTGGAGCTCTGATAATCGTTCATGGAATTGTAGAGTTGGAAGGGACCCCCAGAGCCATCTAGTGCAGGAATCTCAGCTCTAGCATCCATGGCACATGGTCATTCACCCTCTGCTTAAAAACCTCCAAGGAAGGAGAGTCCAAAGCCTCCCAAGGGAGTCCAATGTTGGAAGATTCTGGACAGATAACTCAAATAACTTCTTCACAGAGCACATAGTCAAACTATGGATCTCACTTCCCCAGGAGCCACCGGTGTCCACAGAAGTGGATGGCTTCAAAAGGGGATTATACAAATTCATGGGCTATCAACAGCAACTAGCCATGATGGTTACTAACAGCAATGGCTATGTTCTACCTCCAGAGGCAATAAATATTTTTGAATACTGGTTGTTGGGAATCACAAGTAGGGAGAGTTGTTGTGGGCTTCCTATTGGGGCATCTGTCTGGCACCTGTGACAACAGGATGCTGGAGTAGACAACTAATTATTATTATTATTATTATTATTATTATTATTATTATTATTTCTATGCTGCCCATCGGACTGGGTTTTCCCAGACACTCTGGGCAGCTTACAGCACATATAAAAACATAGCAAAACATCAAACATTTAAAACTTCCTGATTGTGGTGGCCTGGGACTCGGACTCGGACTCAGAACCAGAGGAGTCTCAGTCTGCACCAGATCCGTTGCCTCAGGCATCATCTGAGCCAAGTCTGGGGCCTGACCCTGAAGAGTTCCAGTCTTCTTTTTTGGAAGAAATTCAAAGACTATTTACAGAAATATTGCAAAATTAATGAATGTTAGAATGATGTTGGATTGAAGTTAAGTGGTTTCTAGCTGTACAGGCACAAAAGAATATGGAAAAATTGGTTTTTAATATGTAAAATGTAAAATTTAAAGTTATATTATATCAAGATTAAAGATTAGAATTAAAAAGGAGGGAAAGGAATTGTTGCATTAACATATTTAATTAGAATACAGAAGAGGGAGGTAAGTGGAGGTCCGGGAAACAAGTAAACGTAAAAGAAGTGAGGAAAAGATGAAATTGTTTTAAATTGTTTTTTCTTTTTACTTTGTATTTTTTCTTTTTATTGTTAACTTTTTCTTTACTAATGTGGGGTTTTTTTATTTATTTTTTCCTGTGAAACTTTAATAAATATTAATTTTTTTTATAAAAAAAAGAAGAGTTCCAGTCTGCACAGGTTCCCCTGCAACAAACACCAGCTGGGCCAAGTCAGGGGCCTGAGCTTGCCCTGGCTCCAGATGCAGGGATTACCTCGTTGCCTTCAGCTCGGCTTACAGCTTCTCCACTGTTGGGTCAGGGGAGACTGAGGCAGTCCCTGGGTCTAGTAACCCACCGATGTCTCCTGAGCTGCAGAGACTAAGGTCTGAGAGACGGAGAGACCTGAGTACTCGCAGGAGGAATGCTTGCCTTCGGGCGAAGCAGGGAGGTGAGGCACCGGGGGATCAGGACCGGCCGTTACCCTGACAAATATAAAAGGCTGTTGGACCCCGTCCCAGGTTGCAGGAGCAACATTGCTGCATGCCAGAGCCTGCACCTGTCCTTCTTGGTTTCCTCCCTCGTGTCCTGCCTTGGCCCTGTCGGACTGACTCCTAGCGGAACCTTCGGATTCTGGACTGGTCCTGGACCACATTTCACGGGTTACCCCTGGGCCCAGCACACTGATACAGGGCTGCCTTCAGATGTCTTCTAAAAGTTATGTAGTTCTTCATCTCTTTGACAAATGATGGGAGGGCGTTCCACAGGGCGGGCGCCACTACCAAGAAGGCCCTCTGCCTGGTACCCTGTAGCTTCACATCTCACAGTGAGGGAACCGCCAGAAGGCCCTCGGAGTTGGCTGGGTCCACCAGCCAGGCTCTACTCAGGTTTGTAAAACAAAAGAAGGGTCCTTACCGAGTGAGGCCACGCTCCGGGAATTCTCCAGCATGACTTCCCTATGCAGAGCCTTCTGGCTCGAATCCAGCAAAGCCCACTCATCGTTGGTGAAATACACAGCCACCTCCTCAAAGGACACTAGAACCTAGAGGAGGAAGAAGAAGAGGAGGAAGAAAACATTTTAAATTAACAGAGAACTAAGGGATGTGTAAATCCTCCTCCATAGCTCAATGGTAGAGTTTCTGCGTGGCGTGCGGAAGCTTCCGGGTTCAATCCCCAGAATCTCCAGGCAGGGTTAGGGAGACTGCAAATCCTAGAAACCTACAGCCAGTCAGGCCTCATCCGCACCACAGCTTCCCCCAAAGCATTCCTGGAATTGTAGTCTGCTAAGACTGCTTATTCCCAGTAGTGATGTATGGAAGTGAGAGCTGGACCATAAAGAAGGCTGATCGCCCGAGAATTGATGCTTGTGAATTCTGGTGCTGGAGGAGACTCTTGAGAGTCCCATGGACTGCAAGGAGATCAAACCTATCCATTCTTAAGGAAATCAGCCCTGAGTGCTCACTGGAAGGACAGATCCTGAAGCTGAGGCTCCAATACTTTGGCCACCTCATGAGAAGAGAAGACTCCCTGGAAAAGACCCTGATGTTGGGACAGATCACAAGGAGAAGGGAACGACAGAAGACGAGATGGTTGGACAGTGTTCTCGATGCTACCAGCATGAGTTTGACCAAACTGCGGGAGGCAGTGGAAGACAGGAGTGCCTGGCATGCTCTGGTCCATGGGGTCACGAAGAGTTGGACACGACTAAACGACTAAACAACAACAAGAAGAAGACTGCTTAGCGTTGTTAAGAGACTCCCACTTTTCTTCACAGGCCTACAATTTCCAGAGTTCCCTCAGAAGAGGAACAGATTGCTTGCTCTAAGCCCCACCACATAGTTGCCAATGATCTCCTTTTCCTACCTCAGTCGGTTGCTCAGGGTCTATTTCTGCTCCGCTATGAAAAGGTGATGTCGTAGGGAGCTTCAGCGATGTTATTCCATTTCCTGTTGGGGGAAACAAGGGTGGTACGGGGGGTGAGAGGTTGAAATGAAAACCCATTATTTAAAGTCAGTGCGGAAAACCTCTTTTTCAGTTGAGGGCAACATTATTATTATTATTATTATTATTATTAGAATTTATATACTGCCCTATACCCAGGGGTCTCAGGGTAGTTCACAGAACAAAATCAAGATATAAAACCACAAAATACCTAATGAAAATAAAACAACAACCAAAAAAAAACCATTTTAAAAGGGCATAGGATATAAATCAGATCAACCAAAGGCCCAGTTGAAAAGAAATGTTTTTGCCTGGCCTAAAGGTGTATAATGAAACATTTCCTGATGGTGGTTCAGAAAAGAGCAACCAAAATGATAAAGGGGGTGTGATAAAGAGAATTTATTTAACAGAAGGCCCTTCCCCTGCAGAATTGTGAATTGTAACCTAAAAGTAAAGTAACTGTAAAGTTAGAAGGCCAAGCATTTTTTGTCCAATGTGGGGCTTGAACAGACGTCTCTTGAGATCTTACTCATGCTCTACCACCCAAAGATCTAGGGAGATACTCAAATTGAACTACCGTATTTTTCGCTCTATAGGACACACTTTTTCCCCTCCAAAAATGAAGGGAAAATGTGTGCGCGCCCTATGGAGCGAATGCAGGCTTTCGCTGAAGCCTGGAGAGTGAGAGGGGTCGGTGCGCACCGACCCCTCTCGCTCTCCAGGCTTCAGGCAGCCATCCGCAAGCCTTCTGAGCACGGTGGGAGTTCCCGCTGCACTCGGAAGGCTTGCGGATAGCTGCCTGTTCTGGGGGCTGGGGTCGGGGGAAGCTCAGGCTTCCCCGCCCCCAGCACCCAGCCCTGCAAGCTCCGGGAGCGGCGGCGTGGTTGCGCGATATCTTGCCGCCGCTCCTGGACCGGGGGGGGATAATTCCCCCCCCCTTTATTTCCCCCCCTAAAAACTAGGTGTGCCCTATGGTCCGGTGCGCCCTATGGAGCGAAAAATACGGTAATAAAATAATAATAATAATACCAAATGAGCTATACCTCTCTGTGAGGGATGTACAACACATAATGAGATAAGGCAAAGTACGGCAACAGATTTTCCTTACCCAGTGACATGTTCCGAGTTTGATTATCCGGCAAAATTTCCCCAGATAGCGCCGTCTGGAAGGTTACCGGCAGATTCTCCCTTGATTCAGGGGATTCATTGCCCACCTCCGCGATGGTCCCTTGAACCTGAGACAGGAGCCCAGATCCCAGACAAAGAAGAGGGAGATGAGTTAAGAGCAGTTGCAGGACATTGCTGAATGAATCTCATCTTCCCTGGCCATTAGCCACCCTCGCTGGGGCTGATGGGAGATGTAATTCAGCAACATCTAGAGGGCCAAAGGTTTCTCACCCCTGCAATAGAACCATAAACCCAGCCAACAAGGAGCTTTTTCACAGAGAGGAGGTGCCTTTCACAGGATTTCAAGCTGTAAGAGCAACAATATATGGTTTGCTACCAGACACACTGGGACACGGGTGGCACTATGAGTTAAATCACAGAGCCTAGGACTTGGCGATCAGAAGGTCGGTGGTTCGAATCCCCGCGACGGGGTGAGCTCCCGTTGCTCTGTCCCTGCTCCTGCCAACCTAGCAGTTAGAAAGCACATCAAAGTGCAAGTAGATAAATAGGTACCGCTCTGGCGGGAAGGTAAACGGCGTTTCCGTGGGCTGCTTTGGTTCGCTAGAAGTGGCTTAGTCATGCTGACCACATGACCCAGAAGCTGTACGCTGGCTTCTTTGGCCAATAAAGCAAGATGAGCGCCGCAACCCCACAACTGGACCTAATGGTCAGGGGTCCCTTTACCTTTTGTAAGGTAGTTTCTGTGGGAGTATATTGTATTTAATTATGGGGTATCAGAGTTTTTAGGGGGTTAACCAGGCTGGGATAGCTGGGATAGTAGGCTTGTTGGTTTTTGAATGTCTGATGTAGATTTTTTCAATTTCGTTGTTCTGTATGGGACAATGACAATATCATATCGTATTGTAAGGTCAAAAATTAAGAAACCGATATCATGACCTTCAAACCAGTTTTGGACGATATATTGATATATAAAAAGAGTCTTGAGCACAATTTTACCCTAATCACAATGTGAAGGTTTGGCTTTCCCTTCCTCAAAATGCAATGTCTTTTGAACACTTTCTGTGCCTCTTGAAAAACGACCAGGATGAAAACTGTCTCTCTCACCTGCAGCCCTCCCTGCTTCCTGTCCTCTGCCCGGCTCAGGAGGAAACCTTCGGCCAGGGCCACCGCCTGCGAACTGGTCTCCGCTCCACATTCCCTCACCCAGCTCTCCATCTCCGGGGGGAGGACAGCCAGGAACTGCTCCAGGATCACCAGGTCCAGGATTTGAGTCTTGGTGTGTGTCTCTGGCTTCAGCCACTGACGGCAAAGGTGGTGGAGTCGGCTGCAAGCCTCTCGGGGTCCTTTGGCCTCCTGGTAACGGAAGCGCCTGAACCGCTGGCACTGAGAGTCTGAGGCAAGTGTGTCCTTCCTACCCGGGATCTTCTGCACTGTTCTCTCCCAGAATTCCCTGGGACTCCCAGCCTGGACGGCATCACAACCTTTGCCTGATCTCTGCCCCACTGGGCCAAGCATGTCCATTGCTGGACTGGGCACAGAAGCCCTCTCCTCAAACTTCACAAAGAGTCGTTCTTGGGACACATCACATGTTCCTACAAGGCTTTTTCCCTGCAGATAAAAGAAAACAACACATTGGGAATCAGAAGCAGGCTTCGATCAAAACATCTTGCCAAGAAACATTCATCACCTCTCCAATGGATTTAACAAAATAAATAAATAAATCTAGGTGAAAAATCCTGTATGACCCAGCAGCTAAACACTGATTGAGTCCTGGAAAGGGTTCTTTTTATTAACTATACTGTATTTTTATTGATGCCACAGGCTGATATGAAGCTTTCTTCACTTGCTTTTTGAAAAAGGGATTTATTAACAAACAAATGTGCCAACATAACAAGGCAAAAGAAAAAACAAAGATTTAAAAATTCTGGAAGCCCTTTAATATTAACAATTTGGATGGCTGGTATTCAAGCTTTTGCCAAATTGCCCTTCTTCAAATCAAAATATATCATAAACTAAAAGTATCTAAAAGTCAGAGCTCAAATGACATGTTTTTTTCCATATATGGTGTGATTTTATATCCTATACAAATATAAAGACACACTGTCACTCAGTGCCAACAGTATATGCAAAATGCCTGGCTCGTTTAAGACAGTATCCAATTTTTCAAACTCACAGGTGGAGAATACTTTTGTTTTTTATGAATCTTTATTATTTGTAAGTAAAACCTTTGTATGCATAAAACTTTGTTATCCTTTTGGAGCTGTGCTGTACTTTTGTACTCTTGTCCTTCCTGGCTGTGACACTTTACAGTTTAAATTTTTGATTTTTTGGGGGGGGCGTATTTCTCATTCGTTTTTTGTTTTGTTTTTAACTTGCTGCATTCTCCCCCACAAGTTCACAAACAATATCAGTGAAATCCTGGAGAGCTGTTGCCAGTCCTTGCACTCAGTGCTGGCGCTACCTAGGACTTTGCTTTGCGGATCCGGAGCGTCCTTGCAGTTCATTCGGGTTTAAATGAGACAAGGACTGAATCCTGATCCCTTTGCATAGAGGCCCTTTTTTTGCTCTGCCGCTGAGATTTTGCCCAAAAGTTGGAACTGGGGAGGGTGACTTTTGCATGCAGGCAAAGCAGCAAACCCAGTAGTGACGTATGGAAGTGAGAGCTGAACCATAAAGATGGCTGATCGCTGAAGAATTGATGCTTTTGAATTATGGTGCTGGAGGAGACTCTTGAGAGTCCCATGGACTGCAAGAAGATCAAACCTCTCCATTTGGAAGGAAATCAGCCCTGAGTGCTCACTGGAAGGACAGATCCTGAAGCTGAGGCTCCAATACTTTGGCCACCTCAGGAGAAGAGAAGACTCCCTGGAAAAGACCCTGATGTTGGGAAAGATGGAGGGCACAAGGAGAAGGGGACGAGAGGACGAGATGGTTGGACAGTGTTCTCGAAGCGACCAGCATGAGTTTGACCAAACTGCGGGAGGCAGTGGAAGACAGAAGGGCCTGGTGTGCTTTGGTCCAGGGGGTCACCAAGAGGCGGACACGACTAAACGGCTAAACAACAACAAAGCAGCAAACTACAGGTGGAGACACGTCGGTCCTGGGAAGCGCTTTCCCAGCCCC